TTTTGGTGCGTTAGGGAAAAATGATGAGAGTAAATTTTTACAATACGCGCGCACTCCGTCACAAAAAACCGACACTCTGTAGTTAGCTATAGTCAACATTTTAGGTTTTCTATTGTTAGTGTCGTTTTTTTATTTATAGTTTGTTAGAATTCTGTGTAATAGTTATTAAGTATAAAGCATGCTATATCTGTTGAAGGGTGTGCAATTAGTTTTTGATATTTTTGACTGCCAATTGGCAAACCATCCAGAAAACCTTTTTGAATAAAAAAATATATACTAGCGAATATACATTTCCTAACTATAATGGTAAATAGACTGTGGTCTACCGGGCAAACTGTGGATTTTTCAACTTTTTACTTTGCCACTGCCCTTTGTTTATTGCGATATGACTGAGATTGAATGCGGCTTTCTATTGCTTTCGATATAAACATTTTCACAGAAGGCTCGAGCGGGAACGATTGATTTTCGAAAGGATTTTTCCATTCATATTGTAGATTGTGTACCTGTTCTTTTTAGTCTAACTGAACATGGAATTTCCTCCATTGCATCCATAAAAGTGTAGTCACTGACTATATCGTGACTAGTCGTACTTGATTTCGTGTATGCGGTGATGTTAGTTGTTTCGACTATGTATTTGCGTGTTGTTCCCACGAGAATGTAAGTGCGTGCTCCTATTTCACCGTGCCTCCTGCTGATAGAGGATAAATCTTTGTTTTTAATTTATTTTATTATTATTTATTACTTAAGGTGTCATGTGGAACAAACGTTGTGTAAAAGAAAAAACTTGGCGATTAAAAAGAGTGGCGGAGAGTTTGTTGCCAGTTCTTCTTTTCCGTTCTACGCCCTTGATTTGAAAACTGGCAGTACATGTAAAATTAGAAGCATTTAATGTATTTTTTTGACGTATATAAGTGTACATTGTGTTACCTACAAGAATAAATGATTGTTGACTTTGACTTTGATATATGAAGTCGAATTAGCGTAGCAATTCTTAAACAGCAATGCACTTTATAGCCTTCTGGAAATGTGTGTGTTCACGCATCACTTAACATCAGGAGAGCCTCCTGATCATCCCTGTACAATAAAAAAAATAAAAAAATGCATATATGAAGATTTCAGCTAATAGTACTATAAAAAGCTTTTTTTAATAATAGAAAATTCTTCATTCTTATTGGAATTAATAAATTCTGATCTGCTCAAAATTTTATTATTATTTTGAAAATGTCTGCACGTCGCCTGTTACTGGAACTGGATATGAATCGCTGCCAGATGACATGCTGCCCGTGTGTAGGGCGTAGTATTTTTTAGATGTGATGTTGTAGTCCTGGTAGCCTCGTCGTAGCGCATAAATCTTCTACGTAGTTACGGTGCTACCTTCTGAATCTAACCAAAGCCTACTTTATATTCTTTTGTCGTATTGCTAAATGTTAATTTATGTAAATTAATAAATCAATGCAGCACTTTTTGTTCTTTAATATTTAACGATATGTCTATCACAATAGAAAAAAATGTACAAAGAAATACTTACGTAACATATATATTAGTAAATAATGCATTTATATAAAATCATAATTTTTTATATTGAACAGGGGGCAAACGCTTAAGAGGAGCTACTGATGTTAATTGATACCGCTAATAGACACTTAAATTGCCAGAAGGCTCGCAAGCACGTTTGCAAGAATTGGTACGCTAATTCGACTTTTATGAATACAGCCAGTGAAAGGGACGCTCACATACCTTTCCAAGCTGTAATTCCAATCATCATAAAAGGTATTTAATCTGAATGTGTAACAAACAAACGTTAATAATAAATCAAATTGTCAAACGACTAAATAGTAACTTTTTCAGACCTCAATGCCCTATGGCGCAATTTCAAGAATACTTTATGTTTGCGTATTTCTTTTCGTTGCATCTACAATCGCGGGGTCAAAAACCGGGGTTCAATCGAGAGCTTTGGAATCGTAGGAACGACCGGTACTTGAAACATGAATATTTTATAAGTGAAGGAATAAGTTCGCAAGATCTCGCTTGTTAAGTATGCATGTTTTAATCTCGACACTGTTTTTTATCGAATAAATGATTACATATTAATTGTCGTTTATATAGAGTATTTGAATATATAAGCCACTATAGTGATGGTAAGATATTTTAAAATTAATCAAAGGTGTTTTAAAGTACTTTGCATTTATAAATAATATGTAATGCTGTCGCCATTTACAATGCGTAAAAAGACATTGATTATATATTAATAATCGTTTATATAGAGTATTTGACTATAAAACGACTATAGTGGTGGTAAGATATTTAAAAATAATCAGAGGTATTTTAAAGGACTTTGCATTTATAAATAATGAAATTATATATTAACTGTCGTTTATATAGAGTATTTTACTATCAAAACCACTACAGTATGGTAAGATATTTTAAAATTCATCAAAGGTGTTTTAAAGGACTTGCATTTATAAATAACTAGCTGACCCGGCGAACATCGTTCCGCCTAACAGTCTAATAATATCGTGTTAACTTTAGTTCAACTTAATTTTAGATTTCATTAAGGTAATAACATTAATACAATTTATTTTGCAAATACAGAAATGTTTTATTGCTTGCCATTGCGAAAAGAGAATGGCAGTTTTACACATTAGGCCTCTTCTCCCTAGCGCCAATATTGCGATACTGCATGTTAGAGCACTTCTTACAACATTTTTTGTTTTGTTATCCGGCGCAAGAACAACGTGGTAGGTTTCTGTTATATGCGTAATTTTGTCAACAGATGGCACCACATGCTGTTTGCATTCGTAAAATTAATTAATTAATTTATTTTTATTCGATAATGTATCCGATATTTTATTACTTATTCTGCTATTCGGAGCGGAGAAGAATCCACCAAAAAAGAGATAACAAACATCGGTCCAGCCGATCTTGAGTTATAAGTGGTGTAACTAACACGACTTTGTTTTGTATATTTAGATAAAATTATGTAAAACTGTCGCCTTATACATAGGCTGCACTAAAAGTATCGGGAATGGAATAATACCACTGTTCCTGTCATATTTAAATCTTTTTAATTGAAAACTCCTTTTTTTTCAAATCGAATACCATTTTTTTTTTAAAAAGATTCCCGGTCTTTTCACCATGTTTTGTCAAACTTGTTTAGTCGTTGAGAAAATGGAATTCACTCGAGAAAATTCAAGAGCGATGATTTATTATGACTTTCGAAGTGGTTTATCACAAAAACAGTGTGTTGACCGGATGATTTCTGCATTTGGTGATGAAGCTACATCCAAAACCACAATTTATCGCTGGTTTGCTGAATTTCAACGTGGTCGTGTCAAGCTCAGTGATGATCCCCGTCAAGGTCGTCCAAAAACTGCAGTCACCCAAGAAAACGTTGATGCTGTGCGTAAGCTGATTGAGGAAGATCGACATGTGACATACCGTGAAATTCAGGCAACTTTAGACATTGGCATGAGTCAAATACAAATAATCTTGCATGAACAATTAGTTGAAAAAAAGTTGTTTTCCCGATGGATACCGCATTCGCTCTGTGAAGAGCAAAAAGCGGTTTGCGTTACTTGGTGCGTCAGAACTCTCGAAAGATTCTACGCAGGATCCTCAAATGCTGTATACAACATCGTATCAGGTGACGAATCCTGGATATACGCGTACGAACCCGAAACAAAAAACCAGTCACGAGTTTGGGTGTTCGAAAATGAGTTAAAGCCAACGAAAATTGTTCGTACACGGAGTGTTGCAAAAAAAATGGTGGCCACGTTTGTCTCCAAAACCGGTCATGTTGCGACTATTCCTCTTGAGGGACAAAGAACGGTTAATGCAGAATGGTATGTTAGCATTTGTTTGCCACAGGTCGTTTCTGAACTCCGTAAAGAGAACTGCAACCGCCGCATCATCCTCCATCACGACAATGCGAGTTCTCACACCGCGCACAGAACAAAAGAGTTTTTAAAGCAAGAAAACATAGAATTATTAGACCATCCGCCGTACAGCCCCGACCTAAGCCCTAATGATTTCTATACTTTCCCTAAAATAAAGAATAAATTGCGTGGTCAGAGATTTTCATCATCTGAAGAAGCTGTGGACGCCTACAAAACGGCCATTTTGGAGACCCCAACTTCCGAATGGAATGGTTGCTTCAATGATTGGTTCCATCGTATGAAAAATGTGTCAAATTTCGCGGAGAATACTTCGAAAAGTAATAAATACATTTTTAAATAGTAATGTTGTGTCACTTCCTTGATTCCCGAAATTTTCAGTGCCGCCCTCGTACATTGCATATAAAGACTGATACCTTACGTATTAATTGTCGTTTTATTTATAGTATTTTATGTCATATACGGTTACGCCAACGAAGTATAACGTCTAACGCGTTTACATAAGAACACACACACGTTTTTTTTATTATTCTTCTAGATCTGTCTCTTACTTATCCTACTCCTATCTTAGCTTTCTAATGGTCATCTTCTCCATCTCATCTACATTTACTTTTGCATTATTTCTGACGTTCTGGTTGCTACTAATTTCCTCAATGTAAATCTAGATACATTAGAGGCGTGGAAGGCATCAGTCATGTCGGACGCGCCGAGTAGACCACTTAATCACTCCTGTTTTGCAAAATGCCTTAAGAATTCCAGTATTTAAATAACTTGATTTCCTCAAAGATCCAAAAAGGGCGTGGTGTAAGACCATTCTAGAGATTTATGCTTTGCTCTTTTCTTTTTTTAAATTTAATAAAGAGAGTTAGGACTTAATTCGTTTTTGTATTTAGTCTTGTAATCTCCGGGGTATTTGGCAAATACTTATTTGCGGTGATTAGCTGTCTTACGAATACTATTATATTATCAAGTAATGATGTATAATCGTAATAAATGTTATTATTTTGTACATCTGGCTGGCCATGCGTTATACTCGTGAACGGGTGCTACTTCTGGTGACTGGTCGAACTTGAATTCGTGTATGCGGTGATGTTAGTTATTTCGACTATGTATTTGCGTGTTGTTCCCACGAGAATGTAAGTGTTAAGTACTTTTATATTTATTTGAAAAATAATGAATATAACAGTACTTATCTTTAATTTCATACTTTTACGTCATAATTATCATAACATATACGTAGATATTAGTGTTTAATAGCCATGAACGGCCATGCATGATCTACGCAAACTAAATTTTAAACATGCACGGAGACTATTTTGAATACGTATCAATAATTATTAAACGTTTTTCAGATACGCCATACCATTTATTGGGTCAGTCAGCTTTTTGCTCCCAACTTTAGTGCCAGTCTACTATTGGGGTGAGAGCTTGAATGTCGCCTGGCACATACGCCTCTTCACATACATCTTGAAACTGAATACTACCTTCTTAGTAAATAGCGCAGCTCATCTTTGGGGTTACAAACCATATGAGAAAAGTATAAAACCCGTGCAGAACAAAGTAGACCTTCATTGCCTTCGGTGAAGGTTTTCATAACTACCACCACGTGGACCCTTGGGACTACCGCACAGCCGAACTTGGGAACAACCTACTGAATTTTACAACGTTATTTATAGACTTCTTCGCGAAGATAGGATGGGCGTATGATTTGAAGACTGTGCCTGAAGGGATGATAGAAGCACGAGCGAAAATAACTGGTGACGGTAGTGATTTATGGGGGAAAATTAAGGCAGTTTAGAAATAATTTAGTTTTTCACTCTGAATGCCCCAAATATGTTTATTGAAGTAATCCAGGGTAGGTACTAATTATCATAAAAAAATTAATTGGAAGAATTGTTATTTATTATTAACGATGTACATATATATAGTGACTATAATTTTTATTCTGTTGAAAGCATTGTTTAAAATATTTTTTATTAGATTTAAAGGCATCTTGTGATAGTATTTCGCACATTGTCATATTAAGATAAAATTTCTGATAGATTGAGATTCTATAGATATCTGATAGAGATTCTAAAATTAGGAAAATACTCCAAACCTGGAGCAATAAAACCAATGAGATATAATTAATCAAATTTTTGTTTTAAAAAAGGATGATGATACAAGGTGACACTGTACAAGGGCTAGACGACTAGAAGACTATGCTAGCGTACGCCATGCAAGATGTATACGACCATGCATGACCAACTTTAACCAGCCTCCCATATTCACCGGTTACAGGCGCTCAAGTCGCGATTCATGTGACTGGCGACTGGCGCGCCTTTCTAAGTGAGGAACGTCGACCTCCACCAAGACCTGGAGCTCCCTACCGCAGCCCAATAGATGAACTTCGATAAAGCTAAACACCAACCCAAACCGTTCGTGTGCAAAAGCTTGATATTTACCTCTTATCATCCCTTCCCGACAAAAGGCTAGTTTTCTCCATACGATGAGATGCCAATTGTCCGGTCCAATTAATAACCGTGGTTTTGCATCGTCGATCATTTGTTGAAATAGTTACTTATTCAAGTGTTTGTATAGTAAATTATCCGCGCTAATCCTTTGGCTACCGGTATCACTTGGCGCTTTTAAAGTGTATCTAGCTGCTCAGTCTTAGGGGTCTACGTCATTTTTGCCGTGTTGACTCTCAAAATCTTCCGTTTAAGAAGTGTCGTAAAAACTCATGACCGGCATTTTCTTTTTTTTCTATTGAGTCGCTGCATCCCTCGATTGTGGGATTCCGTTCTCGGCGCCACAGAATCGTTTGTGGGTGATGTAGGTCACTGCTCTGTTTTTCTAGACACGTGCTCTTTCTTTCGTTCTCGGACCGCTGTGTAATCTTTCTTATCATTTTGAGAAAGACCATCCTCGCCGGCTTTGGCATTTATTCCTCATCTTCTGCTCCATTAGCTGCTTACTTAATTCCAACTTTTTTCTCAAATGTTCTTTTTCTGATGCGACCAAGCGTTCTTCGGTTTCGTATAAAACTTGATAACAGGTGACATCCTCGACCTGATAGCACTTAGACCTTCCTGAGGTCTGTGATGCCCTCGACCTGATAGCACTTCCTGAGATCTGTGACCTATCCACAGGTAAAAACATATCAACTCTAACATCAACGCTGTCCACTTTCACTTAGAGACTGCGAAGCCGGCCGTGCTCTTTCTTACCGAGACTCAGATGTCCTCCGCGGCTGATACTTTCTACCAATTACAAATTGGAACATTCAATTGTGCCGCGGGCGGGAGTTTGCGTGTACGTCAGAGAAGATATCAGTTCTCTTCGTCTCGGAACGCTTGACGGAAAGGACCTATCTAACCTCTGGCTGCGTGTAGACTGGGATGACCATCCGCGATTCTATGCGTGCCTGTATAGGTCCCATAGCGGAAATGACGAAACTAGCCGACTCATTGAGCACGTTCAAACGGCTACAGATTCCCTGCTCAAAAGGGTTTCTATCGCTGAAATCGTGATACTTGGCGATTTTAACGCCCACCATGCCGTTTCACGACTTTGCTTTAGCTTACGACTTCCCGCAGATGGTTCTTGCGATTATGCGAATACCAGATGCGGCGAGTCACTTTGTGTAGTCTGTGAAATCAACTCTAAATTGTGCGTGTACTAGGTGTACACACGTAAGAAGTGAAACTTCTTTATGATCTTATTTTTTCGAAAAATGATCTACTATATGCAACTTTACAGAAATTCGTTAAATTGGATAAAGTTTAACAAAAGGCTTTTATTATCATAGACATGAATACAAATATTTCATTTTACCTTATTACTACGAAGATTATTATAGAATTTCATTAATTGTAATAGAATTATTACTATCATTGAAAAACGTGACGATTTGCTACAAAATTTCTCCCATACGTCGATAAAGAAGTTTCATTCCAACGCCGATAAAGAAGTTTGACTTCAAAATGCAACATGGCGCGTAACCGAAAAATGTGACGCGTAACGAAAAAATGTTACACTCAATTTTTTTTCCAACCTCGATAAAGAAGTTTCACTTCTACCACCTCGGCACCGTCGAGTAGAGTGTTCTTCAAGTTATCCGGCTTCTCGGAGGACCAAACTATAAGCTCGAACCCATATCTGAACCACGACTTATATAACTATCGTTCGTCAGGAACGGCTGCGTAAATCTATTCGTTAAAGTATACAATTAAAAACTTAAACTATGGTCTGAAACTACAATCCCGCTACCTGCTCACCCGCTGACCGTTTCCCGGAACAACATCTGGCTGCCAGCTTCGAAGATCCTTTCCTAGTGCCTAAATAAAATTTTGTTTAAGTTACTGAACCTATTTTAGAATATAATTGGACGTTAATTGATTTTATCGAGTGGAAAATGGCCTTTCAGAATCTAAACTTACCATTTGCTCATCTCCTTAACTAATTACAGTTTTTTTTTCAGTTATAAATTATATAACACGGAAATCATTTTCGTTTAGACTCAGTTACTAAATGATACTCTTCTGAGCAAGTATCTATGTATAGTTTTTGATATTTAAATTAATTTTAATTAACCGCTCTGTGAACTTTACGTCGTTCGACAAAAATGTTAAATTTTTTCTAAGAGAACAGCTTTATAGAACAGAGATTGCAAATAATTAAAGGTAAGTCACACTTGCATTAATACATTTTAGTAAATTAAAATGTTTTCTATATGTTTCATAATTTCCTCAGGTATTGAAGGTTTTTTATTTAGTAGGCTTGTGATATTTAGAGCAATAAATGATATAAATATCACATACCTATTCCCATATACAATACTGGAAGAGTGATATTTACCTTTAATCTACACTAATGTCACTAAGAGCTTTCCTCTTTGAGATATATTATATTTGTTGATTAGTATAAATGTTACAAATAAATACAAATATTTATTTTAATTGGGCCGTTGGGTTCAAGTACACAGGCTTTAATTAGACTTCAGATTGCACCTGATAGACATTACTGGTGAACCCAGAGCTGGTACTTTCCTCGCTCAACGAATAAGTATCGGAATGCAGTGGACCAAACTCTTTATTTATTTTCATTAATATGTAGGTTAATAGTGTTAATAATTAGCATTTAAATGAAATAAAATATTTGTTTATGTATCAAAAAAAATATCTATATTCAAGAAAAAATATCTCAAAACTTTACCGATTTCAATTCTAGAATATTTCCAAAATATGAAGCCATTTATATTAATTTAATTCACGAATCATAATTACTATGATCATTTCTACGGATATAGCAATCACTTCCAGTATAATACGATTTTTGTCACAGTTAAAAAATGGCGCCAAATACAACAGAGGAAAGATGTCTAGAGCCCACAGAGGCCAATTTCGAAAAGCTAATAGCACCACAGGCTGCCCCTCGGAAGTTCCAAATAGTTTATTGGAATTTACTCACATTTGGTTACGGTCATATTGCAGCATTATATGGGCTGTACCTGGCTTTCACTCAAGCTATGTGGACATCTATATTTTTTTGTAAGTAATCTAAGAAGAGGAAGATTTTATTATTTGGAAAATTCGTTTATAATATTAACTTTAATAGATTAAAGTATGGGTCTGAATACATGTTTTGAAATTATATGTTTATGTGTACGCGGGGTATGTGAAGTTTCATCAAGGAGTACGCGCGGCTATCAGTAAAAACAATTGCCACACATCCATACAAACTTTTGCGTTTATAGTATCAGTAGGATTGCTGTAATAAAGGGTACGCAGGTTTGAGGTTTGAAGTGCTACGCTAGAAAAACTAAACTAATTAGGAACTACTAGTCTATACTATAGACAATATAGGCAAACAGAAGCATATGTCCGACTTCGCTGTAGAATAGTTTTCCTTTATTCGAATTAAGTTCAATATACAAAAATGTATGTCCAACTTGGACTATGAATTGGAAGTGTTGCCAGTCATTAAGGAGTTTTGAGCAGTGTTGGCCTAGTGGTTTCAACGTGCGACTCCACATCCCTGTCGTTGGTACGATCCCGGCTCAGCACCAAAAGTCTATGACAGCATTTAAAACTCGTGCGTACGATGAAGGAAAACATTGTGAAACTGGTATGCCTTACACCTAGGTGGTATTTCAGGCACAGAAGGTTACCTACTTGCCTATTAGAAATGATCACTTAACAGATACAGAAATCTGAGGCTCAGACCTAAAAGGTTGTAGAGCGATTGGGATATATATAAGGACTTTTTGCTATGGTTTTTTCAATATGGCCTGTGAACTACGAGCTAAAGAATTAATAATTATAATTTGTAATTTTATTAAACTTTAACAGATTGCACTCTTTTTGTACTGGCGTCGATTGGAGTGACAGCGGGGGCTCACCGACTCTGGACGCACAGAGCATACAAGGCAAAAATGCCCCTACAGATTATCCTAATGTTTATGAACACTCTGGCATTTCAGAACTCAGCTATCGACTGGGTACGAGATCATCGCATGCACCATAGGTGAGACTTGCATTATCTTTAAAATGTTATATGATTATAATTATGCATGTCTTCTATATATTATATGCAAATGCTGTCACTTTTGACCTTCAGAACCGTCTTTTAGTCAACTGCTGGAAATTGGTATTGATGTTTTTTGTCGTGATAGCACGACTACAATTAATATGATCATATCAAAGCTGGAAGGTAAACACAGACAATGTTTGTAGAAGAATTGGTTTCGCAAAATAATGGACTATTTCCTGTGTAAATCCACTGTTAGTAGATAATATGTAGTCTTGGTTACAGCGGGAATGGGCGACGGCTTCAATTGTATTTTACAAGTAGCTCTATCGTTTCTAAATATCAAATGAATATACACTTTAGAGAAGCTAATACTATCAAGAATTATTACTCCACATAATTTTTTTTAACAATTATTTAATTACGTTGTAACTTATCTTTTGGTAAATGAGAAAAAAAATTAAGTTTTCTGTGAACGGAAGTTTTTGTGATTTTGAAATGAAAGTTTTCAGAAACAATAAGAGATTTACAATGTCACTCATTTAAAGTTAATGGTTACTCAAGCTAAAATTTTATTAATTCTTCATTAAATTACATCACGCGGTCTTTTAATGTCTAATATCGTAACTGCGATATAATGAATATTTCAAAAATGTTAGAAAAAAAACCATTTAAGCACATTACTTTTAATTATATGCTTAGCCATACATTTTTCCACTTGTGCATTATATATCTTTGATATTTCCCCAATAGCAATATTCGTTTATATTCACAAAAACCTTTTCACTTAATAATTTTATTTACGATAAAATCGTAAATAAAGCTATACCTATAAGTTATACCTACAATAAAAATAAATCATTTAATACTGTTTTTAAATAAAAATTTATTTGAACAGCATATATATTGATTATGTGGGGGAATCTTATATATTATCTTATTAATTAGGAAATCAGTGTTTTACCGATTGGTATATGAACTTCCGAACAGTGCAGATATTTTTTTTAAACGTATTTATTTACAGAATAATATAATATATTACATAAAAAAACCGGTGTGGTTAGTGTTAAAGGAACGAGGCCGAATACCTAATTGTTACAAGTCTAGATAACACTCTTGCGACCGAGATGTGAAATTCCTCGGCCGCATAATTATACTTCACAAAGAAGTAAAGGCATATATTACTATAATTGTTTATGTTACCCACAAGCCTAAGAGACCGGACAAAAACTGGCAAGAAAAAGATTATAATAATTAACAATAACGACCTTTCTTAACGTTTATAATTAACTACGCAGCGCATTGTGGGCCTAGGGGCTTCACCAAAAAGTCGGCAGCGTGTATCAGGCACAGCATGCTGATCACCTACTTAGATTGACAAATAATCATGAAACCGATAATATTATCTCATGTCATAAGATATTAAACGATGCCAACAGAGATATCAGCATATTTTGAAACCAATAAATCTTATTAAATTAATAATGGAAACAATCAGGATTTCTTCTGATATTTTCATTAGATAATAAGAGGTATAAATTTTATTTTATTATAATTACGAAGACAATGACACACTTGCACATTTGATTTGAAAAGCAGATATACCGTGTTTTAATAAATTCGTTTTTATGTTTGTGCAATTTCTCTATACATCGACAAAAACGCGTAAATTGTATTTATTCGGATTCCGGGATTTTTGTAATAGATCAAAGAGCTACTATTTTCATGGTCGTCGCTAATTAACTTACCTATTTCATAATGAATTTAAATTTGTATAACTATTCCGTTGTCTGGCATAAAAAGCCATGGTTATTTGAGGCTTTTTTCCCTAGTATTTAGTTTATTTCCTACTAACACATGCAAACTTTTCCTTGTGTATCTGAAGAAATTACGAACCAAGGAGAAGTATAAAAAGACTTAACGTTAAGTATGGCCTCCGATGTCAAATAAGTTTGACGTTATACTTAGCTTTATACTATTTAAGATTTATTTCCGTTTACGAAAATATAAAAAATGAATCTTAAATAGTTATTATTTTAAACTGTATAACTCTTGTTGTGATAATTAACCGCGACAAAACAGTTTTTGACTAATTCAGGCTTTCTACTTTCACAATCATTTGTTTTTTTTTCACAATTTTCGTCGTATGCTTTTTGAAGGAAATTGATTTTTATATACAGGCACAGAAGGCAGATAAAAAGAAATTATAAAATCTTGTTGAGGGTTGTACCGCCACTATTTTTATACTAAAAAAGGCTTTATATATTTCAGATATAGCGACACTGACGCAGATCCTCATAATGCAACTCGAGGATTTTTCTACTCCCACGTGGGCTGGCTGCTTGTAAAGAAGCATGAAGAAGTGAAGAAGCGCGGCAAGTTTATTGATATGAGTGACATCTATGCAAATCCTGTACTAATATTTCAGAAGAAGTAAGTTTTAATAATTATGTTAGCTAATATGATAGCTATATGCTAATGACTACGTTAATTTGATTGTTTATATAAATTCACACAGGATAAAAGTAATATATAATTAATATATTAACTTTAATTTTCAGTTAAATGTTCATAATCCTTTATGAAAAACTAACTACAATGACTTTAAATAGGAAAGAAAAACTTTTATAAAACTCTAATTAATTTGTAACGTATAAAAGTAATTTTCTTTAAATTCATATCTTCTCTTAAGTCATACTTATCGTAACTTTTTTTTTCATGTTCAATAGCCATGAACGGTCACATATAATCTACGCAAACAAATTATAATAATTAAAAGTTTATTAAATTCATAATTTTAATCATGCACGTAGAAAGTGTTTCTTGAATACGTATTATTAATAGTGAAACGTTTTTCAGATACGCCATACCATTTATTGGGTCAGTATGCTTTTTGCTCCCAACTTTAGTGCCAGTATTCTGTTGGGGCGAGAGCTTGAAGGTCGCCTGGCATATGTGCCTGTTGCGTTACATCACGAATCTCAACACAACCTTTTTAGTGAACAGCGCAGCTCATCTTTGGGGAACCAAACCATACGACCAGAGTATAAAAGCCGTACAAAATAAGATAGTGAGCGTCTTTGCTTTTGGAGAAGGTTTTCATAACTACCACCACGTGTTCCCTTGGGATTACCGCACAGCCGAACTTGGGAACAACCGACTGAATTTAACAACGTTATTCATAGATTTCTTTGCCAAGATTGGATGGGCGTATGATTTGAAGACTGTGCCTGAAGAGGCAATTGAATCAAGAGCGAATAAAACTGGTGATGGAACTGATTTATGGGGAAAAATTAAGGCTGTTTAGTTACAATGTCCTCTTTTGAGGATTATTTTTTGACGCGCTTTTTGTTTTACTTGGGGCCGAAATTAGGGTTATTATATTTTTCCGACAGATTTTTATCTGAAGATATTACAATGTAAATCTAAGACCCTATGAGGATCACGGGTACTTTTGTTTTATTTCTGGAAATATAGCTTTTGAAAGTACCTGCACAACTATAATATTGTAATATGTATATATAATGTATATACTTTTGTTATATATTTAATCTAAAATGAATGTGCGTTTTAACGTTTAGTTTTAAATTTTAATTACATTTTATGTGGTATATTATTGGTTATTTTAATAAATTTTTTAAAAATATTTGTTTTTATTTACCAAATATACAATAATAATAATAATAAAAACTTTATTTGACAAAAAGGGTTGTCACAAGATTCATTTATCGCTAGTCCCCACACTAGGGAAGCCCTGTGTTGTGGGTACAAAAGGTATCATAGAATGTTTATAACTTGTCTTTGTGGTTAAGCGAATAGTGTGAATTTCAAATATACTTAAGCGTCCTTATTATTCTTATGACATATTCAACATAAGCATATGAGATAAAACAATATTTAACTAATTGAGAGCCAAGAATGTGTAATATATGAATATTATATGAAATTACATCGAATCTCTAAACATCAGCTATGGGAGCTATGCAATGAGGTGCCAATTGACAGATCTATAAAACGCTGTTAGTGGAAATAGATGGGCCATACGCTCCGGAGGGATCCAAGTCACATTGCCAAGCAAGTCCTCGACTGGAATCCTCAAGGCAAAAGGAAACATTGCAGAGGCGAAGGAAGCCAGTATGACGTGAATTGAAATTAAGACAGCCGCCCAGGACCGATCAGACGACGTACGACTTTAAGTAAGTAAGTAAGTATATGAAATTTCATAGTAAAATATTAATTAGGTCTGAATATACAAAGTAAAGACATGTACCAAGTGGCAAAAATATAACTAATAATTATATTTCAATATTTGTTTATTTATACATATTATAGTATTAGCCTAGGCTTCAGCGTGCGATTGTCATCCCCGAGGTGACACAACACAACACACACAACACAGGTGAACACTCGCTTCTAAGGTGAAGTATAACATCGTGAGTAAGCCGACGTGTCTTTTGAGACATGACATGACATTCTTGTTAATGAAATTCAAGTGATCAAAGAAACGTATGCAATTTTAGGCCAAGAGTTGTAGCGCCACTGGATTATTACTATTATTTATGCTTATTCAGAGTTCTAAAAATACGTTGAGTAGAAAATTATTTTCATTTCATAGCTGAGACAAGACAGAAACCTAAATAATATGGTTAATTCAATTATGATATTTGTCTCAAGGACAATCTTTAAAACATATTCCAAATTAGAATATGCCATAGAGCAGAAATTGATTTCGAATATAGTACTTATCTGTGCCACTATAGCTACAATAGCAATAGAAAAAAAAACTTATTTTTAATATTCTGTGTTAATGATGACAATTGTGATAAACGCTTTATGTGTACTTTAATCATTATTCACTATATGAAAACACAACCAACTGAACTCTGAGTATAAGATTCATCTAAAGTTTATTACTTAAAAGTAATTACGTCAAAAAAAATTTATTACTTACAGGAAAAGCGCTTTAATTGAACAAAAACGTGCATATTCATTTTAAATTTTAAATGATTGAAATAATAATATTATATTTTATCTATTCTCGTTTTTTTCGAATTATGAACATCAAGGTGTAAAATTATGTACTTTAATCATACAACATATAAATTAAAAGAAACATAATATAGAACATTGCTCAAAAAACACAATAGCCTAGTTGTTCATTACGATACAGTTCACTGCCGCGAAGTATGCATCACCAAGGAGTTTTAATTATTATTATTTACTAGTTCGCTAATTCCATAGTCAAACATATTCCAATTTTGACCAATATGTGGCTGCACTATCTTTGGCGCCATTTTTTATCGCTTTGATATTGTATTTCTTTTAGGTAGATTTTTGGTAACGTATAATAAATCCTGTGAACACTTATTAGGAAGATAAAAAATTTCACTGGAGAGTTAAGTTCGGTGGCGGTTGTTGAAGGCATATTCAAATAAATACAAATAGCTTAAAACTCTTTGTTTTAAGCTGGGTGTCAATTGGCTTATGTTTAATAACTAACATAAAGTTAGGGGTAGTGGGGTACGTACAACGGACCAAATGAGCGTCTAAGTACGGAAAAAGAGTCCACAAACAATTAGGGGTAGTGGGGTTGCGACGCTAGACTAACAAAAAACTAACTTGAGTTGTTTAAGGGTACTTAAATCTAAGTGACAATTATCTTACCTATAAATAATATAATTGTTATTGACCTATTGGACTTTATCGGAAACGAGAATGTTATGTTACAATTTATGAATGTATGAGAAACTAATTTATTACTGTTTTACAATTTATTGGATACAAGTGTACGATGATTGCTGAAATTTGGTTTGCGCTTCTAATAATAAACTACATATACTATATATGTAACTTAACTAATGCTAGATTGACATAGCTGGAGATAAGATTTTTTTCCGTCTACATAAAATCCTTTTATAAATTTCGTTTAATTAGCTAGTGGTAAACTCCAGGATTACCCTAGTCGAGATAACAGTCACGCGATGTGAATCCAAACTTTCTCTCATTAGCGAATTATAACTTCGGTGACAGTATCTAATATATTAATTTGTCACTTTGTTTTGTACAGTATTCCCCCCGTAACGCGTTTTCGTATAACGCGATTTCTGTCGCGGGGATTCGTCAAGTTACATTTCTTTAGTGTGAAGTTTCCTATTTCCTATAACGCGGGTTTGCCACGTCTTAGCGGGATTACTGTACTTTTATTACTTTAATAGAACCAATAAGTTTCATTGTTATTTAGAATCATAGAACGCAAGCCAGTCGCAGCCAGTTGCTTGGCGAGCATACGCTGGTACAAATTTAAAATAAATAATTGTAGAATGTAAAGTATTAACGTGTTTTTCATCCAATAAAGTAAATTTAATGAAAATGAAAAATATATGTTAGATAAATAAATTTGATAAAATCGTATTTTTGTATTCCAAAGTCATAATTTCATTATATTTTCTCCTTTAGAAAATACTGTATTCACTCAAAATTGTATAGAAAAAGTTCAGAACATAAAATACTTTATATTATAACGGTTTTAAAAGTAAAACTTCAGGTTTTCCAATAAAGAACAAAGTCGACTTGATCCGCAGTAATTAATTTAAAAAATTGTGCATTAATCTTGGATCCCTTTCGGAGTGTTCCTTCCTGAAAAATTGCCAGATAAAACAGATTCGCTTAAAAAATAAAACTCTTATTTACGGCCAGCGATTTGTTACCAAAATTGCAGGTGTTTCTCAAAACAAATCTGTTACTTGGAGGCTTTGAAGTATAGAGCGCGTATTTTTCTCATAGGTTTTAATGTGGTAGATGCGTAAAGGTGCATTTTCCACTACAAAACCTTTTTTATATAATAGGGGGGTAAACGAGCCTACGGAAACTACCTACGGGTCCATAAAGAGCTGTCATCGCAGCCCATGGACACCAATTTTTTGTGGGTGCGTTGCCGGCCTTTCAGGGAAGAGTATACTCTCACTTTGAATAATTGGAGGTCTTATCTCTTAGGGAAGACTCCCACCGGGAGTCGATTCCACAGTTCGCTAGTTCGCAAAGGAAAGTGCCTTTTGAAACGGACTGTGGGAGACTTCCAGCCATCAAGGTGATGTTGCTAAAATTTTGCACCTGGTAGTAGTTACCCCCTCGAGTCGTCACTCTTTGCACCTTCATCACGGTTTCTAAGAGGGGAAAGGAGTTCAGAGAAAGGATAGGACGAAGGTAGGGACAGAAAATTTAAAAGAAATTAGTAGGAAAGGACGGGCTGTCATTCAAGAATGCGGTTATTTCTCTTCTTACACGTTTGCGCTTCCTAACCTGTGTTCATGACTGTATAGAGATAATCTAGCTAAAGAATATTATTATTATTGAACATATGAAAGAATGCGAAGAATTTAACAATAATGTTATCCTACGGGTTTTGGATCGCCCTAAACGGCACGCACAGAAGGAATTAGTAAAGGAAGGTGTAAGGTACAGTACGAAAATAAACTTATTAAACGCGCACGATTACCCTCATAGCTTAGCTGCCCTGTACAATCGCTGATAGTGAGATGATTTAGTCGCTTCAGATTTCTTTTTACTTTATACTTTTTATCTTTACGCGACATTTGGCGCCGTTTCAGCCGACCTCACACTGTTCACAGTTTACATAACTAACAGTTATTATATTTACAACATTTGCTTGATATTTTCTCAATTGTAGCTCTTTTGATATGTTGTGTTATTATTGAAATAAATAAACTAAATTAATTACGTCCAAGATCTTTGATAAGTTGAGAAGTATTGTTACAATCAAAATATAATTTGTTCATGTAAGTAACTCAAATGTACACATAAACGTCATTAAAAACTAATCGTTCTTAATTTATATTAACAGCAACCCAAATCATTGGCGCGGAACGGATGAGAACTGGCAATAAACTTAAATCTTTAATTAGTTTTAAATAATAGAATTACTTTATATGAATTAAACTTAGTAAACTCTTTAAAATATGTCTTAGATTTGGTTTGATCTCACGAAAACGATTTTAATATTTGGCCGTCAACAAGAAATTGAGAAATAGGTAACAAGTTGCCTACACTAGAACTGATGTGTAGCCTCTATTAAAGGTGCGGCGTGCACACAATGCTTTTAATATAACGCCTTATAATAATAATAATTACGCCTCAATTATTCCTTGAAATATTACTATTGACAAACGATTCTAATTTTATCCAAAAAAGCTATATTGTTTTTCAAGGACCTCTTAAAGAGTAAAGGCCTCTACATCTCCATCTCTTTCTATCTTAAGCATTTTTCTGCCCAACTTCCCCACTAATACC